GGCCAAAAATGCATCAAAATCACGTATTTTCACAATTCCAGAACCGGATCTCAGTCATGCATGGATGGATTTTGTTCAGATTTAGTGCATATATTAAACATAATATAAGCTTGATGCATACCAATTTTTCTTCGGATCAAGTTCAAAATGGCCAACTGGCGGCCATTTTGTTTTAAAGAATTTAGTTTTCGATCCATATCTCGGACATGTCTGGACAGATGAAGTTCAAACTTCACGTACACATCATACATTATATCATACATATGCCTGTGCATTTGGGCCAGTCCTTTTAAGGTCAAAAATTTACAAAAATTGCACATTTTCTCACCATACCGGAACTGAATCTTAGTCATGCATGGGCAAATTTAGTTTAAATTTTTTTTGGATTGTGTTGAAAATGGCTGACTGGTGGCTATTTTGTTTTACTGAATGCAGTTTAACATCCATATTGTTGCTGCTTTGAATGTATATGTCACTCAAATATGAACGGAACGGGGACGTGTCATTGACAATGACTTGTTAGTAAATGGCTTAACAAAACACACAAGCATCCAATATATACATAAGAAACTTAAACGTAGATTGTATTTTGGTGAAGTCAAGTGAATAGAGCAGACACTATTTACCAACATGTGATTAAAGATGCTATAAGAACAAAAACATACATTGTTTACAATTTTTGTTTGATACTGTATATACCAATTTCATTGCCTTGTGTCAATGAGGCTATACTTGCAATAAATCATTGGGAATTAAATATGTGCATAATTAATGAGGTCGTCAGACCAGCTTGTTCAGACCATCTATATGCAAAATACCCAATGAATAGTAAATGTATTTCTGTAATAGGTCTCTTGGAATTTATGCGGCCACAAGACCAGCAAATAGTTTATCTAAATCTCTTCACCCATGTGCACAATATCCAATTAGTAGTACATTTATATCTATAATAGTTCTCTGGGAAGTTGATATGCACATAATAAAGTCATATGACCAACTAAAAATTACCCAAAATACTTTGTCTATGTGCACGGAATGTACAGTTAGTGAGTAAATGCACAGTAAATATTATTAAAATAATATTAAAAAAATTACTTACGAAATTAAAATCAGTTGTTTAAACAAGATGTATGTAGGCTAATATATCTCTGCACTTTGAGATGCACAACATGAAAACAATCATGACCCACTGTATTGAAGTTTAAAATACAAACAGAAACAAGCAGCCTCTCGGCTGAGATAGCTCCGCTGTTAGCAATGCACATTTCAATTAAAGAACAGAAGATATCATTAGAAAATGAACAATATGCATAGTATCAATGCAATGGGACTTGCTGTTTTCAACAAGGATTCAAAAATATCATTTTTCACCATAAATGATTGTGGTTTTTAACAAGAAGTCAAATTATCACTTTTTACCAAAAATGATAAAAATATTCACCAAAATTAGAGAATTTAAGATACTAGTATCATGAAATGAACAAATCTGAGAGAGATCCACATGTAGTACCTATATATGTAATATCAAAGCAATTGGACTTAACAAGAAGTCGAAAATGTCACTTTTTACCAAAAATGATAAAAATATTCACCAAAATTAGAGAATTTAAGATACTAGTATCATGAAATGAACAAATCTGAAAGAGATCCACATGTAGTACCTATATATGTAATATCAAAGCAATTGGACTTAACAAGAAGTCGAAAATATCACTTTTTACCAAAAATGACAAAAATATTTACCAAAATTAGAGAATTGAAGATATGATCATGAAATGAACAAATCTGAGAGAGGCCTACCCACGGTACATATACACCAAGTATCAAAGCATTCAGGCTTGTAGTTTTCAAGAAGAAGTCGAAAAAGTAAAACATTGACAGGGACGACGACGACGGACAATCACTCATATGATAAGCTCTGCTCGACAAAGTCGACAGCGGAGCTAAAAAATCAATAATATTAGTAATTGTTTTATAAATTTCTTAAACTCGCAGGTACTATTTACCAATAATATAGTAATGTCGAATTTATGCAAATTAGGTAATTAGTACCCACAAAATTCAAACCCTAAACTAATTATCTATGTGGCTTATTCCAGAGTACCTATGCTTACACACCTAACTTGTTCCATTCATGTAACATTCTTGAGACATTCATAGTTACACTAAAATCTGATGAGGGGTTCTTGATATCGTTGGAATAGATGAACATTGGTATAAATAATTAATATGCAAATTTTTGTACTCAAAACTACCGTAGTCAAGTCTGTACATTGTCCCAGACCATCTATGTAACATACACATGTAAAAACACCTACAGCATGCACATTAAAGATATTACATACAGGGCGTATGTATCCTCTAAGGCATTGTGATTGGTCAAGTTGTTTTAGATATTTTATATAAAAAAACATTCAAGCATTGAAATAAAAATGAATTCATTGATATGTAAGAAGATTAAAATTTATTGTTTGAATAAAAATTAAGACAAAAATTAATGTGCAAACATAGACAGGCAGATATTTATTATACTTATATTAAAAATATTGAGAATGAAATGAATTGATAATACCCAGTAACTGTATTTGCTAGTGTTATGAGATGCACAAGACATGCACCATGCTGTGAGACTGTGTCACATACATATTATAAAAATAAGCCTCTCGACTGAGATAGCTTCGCTTTTAACAATGCACATTTCAATTAAAGAATCAGAGAAATTTAAACAATCGGCCTTGCCGAGAAGTGGAAAATATCACTTTTCCCCAAAAATTACAAAAAATTAGAGAATTAAAGATATTATCTTGAAATAAACAAAACTGAGAGAGATCTGCCAAAGGTACATATACACTCAGTATCAAAGAAATCAGGCTTGTAGATTTCACAACAAAATCGAAAAAGTAAAAAGTTGACACGAATGCCGGCGGACAATCAAGTCGACAGCAGAGCTAAAAATTTAATGAATTTTCCATTTGTCATCCAACATTTTATACGATTGACTGAAATAAATTGAAAAGAAATTGCATCTTCTATTGTTAGTTTGACGTCTCCTATTAAGGTTGACTTGACCTAACTTGTTCCATTCATGTAACATTCTTGAGACACTCATAGTGACTTAACTGGCAATGTTGCACACTAACTCCAAATGCTAAAATGATTTGGTAAAAATAATTTTATCCAATACCTTCCCACTTCACCTGTAGACAAAATGATGTAGACAAAATGAAAATTGCTTCAATCAGTCGCAAAACTATCCATTTGGAAAAAATCCTTGCCACATCTTCCAATGTGTGAGGTATGCAATATTTATATACTGAATTTATATTTGAATTTTTTATCATAATGTATCAATTGTTTGGTTCCAATTTCTCCTTGAAATTCAGGATTACATCATTTTTATAATGTTGATGATCAAAGATTATTGTACTGATTCCATGGCAACACAAATGGCAACAAATCCATTGTTATTACACCTTAGTCTTCTTTCATGATCATTATCACTACATTGAAAGGTGGGGTAGAGTATTGAGTCATCGTTTATCTCAGCACTTCTTTCATTTCTTTATCTTTGAGAGCAGCATCCAAAGCAAGCTTGGCCTCCTCAAAATGTGGATTTAGTTTTAGTGCTTGATTCATGTCTTTTATAGCTTCGTCAAAACGACCTAGAAATGTAAAATAAACCGTTGTACCCATCAATATTTGTACTACTGTAGAATACTTTATTTTCGCTTGGAATTAATTTTCGCTATTTTCGCTGAAGGAATGATTCAGTGAAAATAAACTCCAGCGGATATACCTTTTTTCCTGTACTTTACATTCAACTTGTCAAAAATCAGTGAAAATAAATTCTATACAAAGCACCAAAAATGTTATTTCAGCAAAAATAATGTACTTTACAGTAAATAGAATGTGACATATGATTGGTTGAATGTAGCCATGTGATCAAATGAATTATGCAGATTATCTCCCTGTAAGGCATTCACAAGGAGTTTTCAGTAAAGGTATCTCACAATTCAAATGCTGCTTGAATGGAAAACAAGTTTTAAACTAAATAAGTGTAAACTTACTGAGTCTGTAATGCACTTGTCCTCTGTTGTAGTAGGCTACTGCAAACTGTGGATTGTGTTTTAATGCATTGCTATAGTCATCTACCGCCATTACAAACTCTACTCTAAGATAGCGTAGCTGTCCTCTATTGTTATAAGCCAGTGCTAAGTCACATGATCTGTGGATAGAGATATAGAATACCTTCGTAATTTATTTGATAAATAAAGTGTTAAATTGTTGTATAGTTGATTATGTTCACCCCTATAAGTGAATATGTCAATATGTTTCTATTCAAACTATTTTGTGTTATTGTGGCTGATTTAATAATAATTACATGATTATTGACTCATTGGTTCTATGTGTAAATAAATGCCATATGGTGCATGGTGTAAAAACAACACAATTTATCATTCCCCCCCCCCCCCCCCGTTACTAATTCCATTCTGTCTGCTTTTGGTTGTTCTTTAAACTCTTAGCCATTGTAATTTGATTGTTATTCGTAATTTTCTTGTGTAACCTTTAAACTCCTCCAGCAGGCTGTTACAAGTTAATAAATATATGTTATGTTATAATAAATGCATACACAGCTCTAACGCATAATTGCAGGCACTGCAGATATACACACATAACAATGTTTAGCGCATCAGAAAGTTGTTTTTTAAGTGTACTGTTGCTGGCAGGTTTTTTTCAGCGACTAATATCCAGGTAGGTCTGTACCTTCTATTTTACTTTTTAAAAATATAGTTTCCATTGCATTGCTACGTCCAATACACTGCTTTCAAATTAACAAAGAAAGCACTGCTGTTTTTATGAGCACCCAAGACACAATCATCTTGAATTTCAAATAATCTGATTGATTGAAGTTTTACTGTTTGACTCACGTATTCACTTCACATCTGCATAAAGTAAACATAAAGAGAATGTCTTGTACACCAATAAGCAATCAATTCGCAAATTGCTTACATTGAATTTTGATCACTGTGGTCTCTGCTATTTTTTTATGTGTATAATTCAACTTTAGATGGTAAATATGCACTTGGGGAAATAGAAACATTAAAAGTTTTCTCAGCTTAATTTGGCCATGCTGTATTTTTCTTGTTTTCAATTTTGGACAATGTGATAAGTGCTCATATTAAACCTTTAATTCTTTCAAATAATGTTCTCCTATAGCTGCATATCTTGTTTTTGCAATTTATCCAGATAAATTTGTTTAGCAAATCTGAGTTTTAGTAAACTGACTCCATAAAACACACACATTTACTTACTACTTTTGATACAAAATTTAACCAATGCTTTCTGTTTATGTGTATTATCCCATCTTTTCAACGTCAAAGTAGCTAGTGAAATGTATCACATCACGGTTTTTTAGTAACAAGTGATCACACGTATTAAGGCTCAACCGACGTCCGGGGTGCAACCCGGAAGTTCGACCGAGGATAGAGTTACTTTTGGACCCCAACCCTAACTCTAACTTTACAATTTACAGATACAATTTAACTTTCCCCGACCGGTAAGATATCAACTTACATTTCATTGCGTTCAGCGTCGGTGATCGAAGACTCGGACAATTTTAGCTTCAGTGCCGTGTCGATCATTGTTGTGTACATGTCTTCCGCTTTGCTGGCCACTGAACTTCTGCTTGCTTTGTCAGCCTCCTCAAGTAACGTCTTAAGTGTTCGCACACTAGACATCGCCAAAGCTTACGAAATATATCAATAAACAGCTATAATTGCGGTTAGAAACTAAACAAAACAATAACTTCCGGTGTCCCAGGCAGTCAAAGGGAGCAAGGGTCACGCTCAATGTAGCCGTTGGTGGCGTTATTCTAGCTATGCTACTCGTGCCTGAAGTCACACAGGAGCAATTCGACGGGCAAAGTTCTGAATACGAGGAAAGAGGAAAGCTGGTGATGCGGTTGAAGCCTGAAATGTCTCATCAGAAAATAACCGACTTACTTCATATCGAAAGAAGGTTTTAAACATGTGCATGAGTCGAATTTCTACTATCAAAATTGTTTATAAGGAAGAAATTTTTCTACAAAAATAGTCTAAGTCCACAAGCTAAAACAACGGTACCCCCTAACAACCCCTAATCTGTATCAGACAAATGTCAACAAAAACGAAAATGGATTTTAAAAATGAAAATGGATTTTAAAAATTAAAAAAAAGGATTTAAAAAAAATGAATTTTAAAAACATAAATGGATTTTAAAAACAAACATTTGTTTTAAAAATGAAAACAGGTTTTAAAAACGAAAATGGATTTTAAAAATGAAAACAGGTTTTAAAAACGAAAATGGATTTTAAAAATGAAAATGGATTTAAGAACGAAAAAAGATTTTAAAAACAATTCAGAAACGAAAGTGTTTTTTAAAAATTGATTTCAGAACCGAAAATGGTTATTAAAAATGATTATAAAATAAAAATGAATTGTAAAAATGTAAATGAATTGTAAAAATGGTTTCATAAAATTTCATGTTGTGAGCCACCTCGGTTGAAGTACTCGTACCTTGTCATTAGGGTACGGTATTTGCAATGCCGCTGTGTTGTGTTTTATCTCTTGAAGAACGTGACGGAATCGATAGTCTACGTGGGTTTTGTCGTTGTTGCACTTGTATATTTCTCAAATCCACTTTGGTTACTCACTCGGGAAAGAATTTCGTAACCCCAACCCTGACACTCAAGCCCCCAATGTAATTAAATATGCCCCTCCAAATACCTATAATTGACCCTAAGAGAGGGATGTACAATTGAAATAGGGGAGGGACACTAACTTAACGCGAAGATTACATTATTATCTTGTTCAGTGCACTCGTACCTTGTCATCAACGCAAACACTGTGAGACAAGGTATGGTATTCACAATACAGCTGTGTTGAGTTTTGTCTCGTGAAGAACGTTGTATCTTAAAGGGCGGTGGTCGTCGCGACATTTGTGTTGATAAACATTGATTTTCCCACAATCCAAAGCGCTCTTTTAAAAAAGCGCGGCTTGCACTAATTACCGACGGTGACTCCTTCGATACCTTCCAATCCGCTTCTAATCACCAAAAATACCTTATTAAAGCTTGGTAACGTCTCACTTTGTACTCGTTGATCTGCGCAACAGCCAAAGTCGCCATCTTTGTTTATATGGGACCCACGACAATCCCTCTATCACAGAGGGACTGTGGACCCATATATCTCGCTTATGCGCGGCGCGACACTACCGCCCCTAACACGGGCGCTTGCAACAGGATTTATGGTTATACTAGTATATAACCCTACCCAAGCCATAATAAATCCTGTTGCAAGCGCCAGTGGCTCCTAAGGTCGTGATGGAATCGACAGTCAGCGTCAAATAAAAACATCATGCCTAACAGAAAACAAAATATGTCAACAATGACGTTGGGTCCTAGCAACGACGAGCTCATTAGATCTCTGTTGATATTTGACTGATATCCAACCATGCCAGTGTTTTGTTGTCGATACTGATGCGTGATCATATAACAATAACCATGGAAGGTACCTTCCATTCAATAACAAACAACGAAAATTGTAAATAGGAGCACTGACGAAAAGTTATGAAAACGGGAAATGTGGGCACGGGAGTTTGAATGTATTAGCGTAGAAAAGAGATTTTAGAAAGCGAACAGCTAATTTACGGGATTGGCCGATAATTATATTACTAGAAATCAGAAGAGTTGCCTTGGAAACCGTAATATTCACACTACGTTCGGTCCGTAGAAACAAATCACAATGAGTGTTGTCATACTTTTGGCCTGCATGGCGTGACACGATAACAGGTGTATTTCCGGTCACTGACCACAATAACGAAACAAGTACACAACACATGATTGGCAACGTCACTTCAGACGATTGCTAAACAGCGGGAAGGCAGTACTAGCATTTGTAATATTGTTGATTATTATTTTACATACCATGTACGCTTTCATGATTACCAGCACTTTAGAAAAACTACCAGCAAATAAATTAAATTACATTTGAAATAAAATAAAATATTTTAATAAAATAAATGATTAAATACATTTAAAAAATAAATAAAATATAAAAATAACAATAAAGCCCTAACTATTATCCTATTTTAATAAGATAGAGCTGGGGGTTATACTACAATCTAATTAAAATCCGATGTTCGTATACCGGGCTTCACGAAGGCGTGAATTGTTTAATATAAAATATTGATAAATGTTTATAAATTTAAAATGGCAATTGAAAACAAACAATCACAAAATAAACGAATAACGCCCATATAGAACTCCATTCTAACCAGTAAACCTATATTCTCTCTTTTTAAACTGGTTCGCTTTCGTAATTTAACATTCTGTGTCAAACGATAATGGCACTAGCTGTAATTTGAAGCATCTTAAACACATTTGATGGGATCTATTTTTTGCGTTCATGGCAGTAAATTGGCCAATAAGTGAAGAAACCCCGCAAAGACTCACGGGTAATGGAAGTTACCATGAGGTGTGAGGATCTTACAGATTAATAATAAGTATTTATAAATGTTCATAAAAATAATCACGCCTTCATGAAACCTGGTGTATAGATTCAGATATTTATTTTTTATTTTTATATTTTATTCATTGTTTTTACCGCTAGCGATAATGAGTATACTGCATAATGTGTATAGTTCAATATAGAATAGAATAGAATAGAATAGAATAGAATAGAATAGAATAGAATAGAATAGAATAGAATAGAATAGAATAGAGAATTATTGACACCGTAAAGAAAATATTGCATTACTTGTCGGTAAAAAAAGTATAATATAAATAACAAAATTAGACTATACTACTAGTATTTTGATTGTGAAATTAGTCTTTTCACACATACTTTGATAATAAGTTTTGACATTGTTAGTCAGTGTTTTTTTTTTTTTACATTGAAACAAATATTTACTTAGAGCATAAATAATTGTCCTATAAACATTGCCGATAGTGGCATGATGTGTTTGTCAATGCTGTCCAAAGTTTAATAACATCTGATCTAAATCTGTTATTTTATATCAGTATATAAACACATCTGCGCACGTACGTCACATTTCATACTGCGTGTACCGTTGACTACACAACACCTGTACCATCGGATATTTTCCTTACGTGAACCGAACAGCCTAACGAATTGTAACATGTCGTCGAATACAGAGAACGTAACGACATTGAAAATCTACAAAGAAGATTTCGACATGAAATTTCTGCATTGTGCGGTATGTAGAGCGCCGTATGTTGAACCGGTAACACTGCCGTGTTTACACACAGTCTGCAGACGTCCATGTTTGGAGGAGGTTATCAAGACGCACTGTAAGCGACAACGCCGATTTAAATGTCCTGTTTGTCGCCGAGACACTGACATACCGCGAAAGGGACTTGACGGTTTCCCGAAAAACTTTTACATTCTCAGTTTGAGAGAGTATATGGATAAACAAGAAGATTTCAAACAAAAAGTGCGAACAAACGAAGTTTCCAAGAAGACGAAGAATGTCGAACCGTCAGTCCTTTCAACATGGGGCGCCCATCTTGCTGCTTGCATGATGCACGAGTCGTTTCATCCCATGCCTCAACAAACTCACATTGTACGCTACTAGGCAATACGGAGCATGAGATGACTGTAAGTTTCCGCATCAGAACTTGCCATGTGACTTCATAGTTCAAACAATGTGAAACGTTCACAATGTATTCACAAACTTGTACATAGTATTCGTGTGCGTTATTGGTTTCGTTTTCACGATAACGGGTGATTTGAAAATATTTTACTAATTATTTGTTTCCGGTTGCCATACACCAACAAAATAGCGACGTCACAGAGACAAGTATCATTCAGACTTTGGATCTATACTCTGACATTTAAATAGACTATTAATTGTGCAAGTGTAAACATGTTCCTACAACCTTTGTGTTGTTATTAAAACTGCTGTCTGTGAAAACAAAATCACGAAATATTCGACCATGAGAGGGCGTACCGCTTTTCGATTGAAGTTTCAATGTACACTACACAAAGTAGCAATATAGACACACGCGAAATATTATCCAGCAGCTATATCATTACACCAGTGTTTGCATATGTGACTTTGTTTAAACCAGGAATAATCTACTGGCGAATAGTAGGATAATAACGGATTATTTGACAATCTTAAAATGTTATTCACCACGTTAACTTCGCATATTACTGATTGCATATATGCATTTAGAGTTAGTTCGTTTATATTATGTTTACGATAGTATATACTTCAAATACTATTAACTATGTATTGCTTTTCTTGTGAGTTGTTACATTATTATTATAAGTTAAAGCGGACGGGTCGTCACCTGCGCACGCGTGGGAATAGAGTTCCAAGCGACAATAACAACACACACTGAAACGACAAAGGCTCATGGGTAGACGCTTGTTTGTAAATAATGACACGTTATGGCCATCACGCATGCGCAGGTGACGACTCTCCCGCTTTAAAATATAACTATCAGCAAACTATAACCATGTATCTGAGATTTCTGAATGATAGTCTATGCATCAGTGACTTATCCATCTTCTGAAATCGCAATAAATTTGAGCATGTCTTCTGAGAAATGGTTGTAAACATATCATCACATTTGATGACAAATTAGCCGCCAATCGGCCATATTTTATCGATTCACGTAACAAAATGGCCACCCGTCCGCTACGTTTTTCACACATTTGTACTTGTAACATTCTTGTCACCTAGGTCACTCGGGATCGCGTGGTTCTCCGCATTGTCAATACTAAGAGCTCGCTCACTCCAATAAAT